GATCTTACATGCATCAAAGGAGGGCACTTGTAGTTATCATTTCTTTCCTTTTCTGCCTAGCCGTAGGAACCATAAACCTTGGTGTATGCTTGTCTAAAAATTTGTGTTTGGGGCTTGGAACACGGCCCTACTCATTGTGGGACTGTTGGGTTTGAATAGAATGATGTTTTTCTTTGGCTTGGCATACGTTAAACTTAAGGGGCAGCATGCTGAAAATTTGGTTTAGTCATGATTAAATGACATTGGTAGAGTTTTATTAAAATAAAGTATAAGCACCGAGTGATGAACCGAACCTTGGATAAGTAAGAACTTAATTGGACAACTTGCTTTAGCCCCACTAGTGCACCTTAAAACGTGTAGGGCATTATATGTAAAATGATAAATCATAAGCACTTTGTAATGAGGAAGACCGAATCTGTATGTTTAGGAGACCTTGGATTGTGTCATTGGTTAATAATTAGGAAAGCTGAATCTATGGCAAAAAATTAATTAACACTTGAAGCATGATAAGTCGATTGAAATCATAGGAGTTGAAAGCATGGGAAATTAGTTTAAAGTCTGGAAATAAATTTCTTGTTAGGAAAATTAAAGTAGGGTAAAAATCATGAAATACTATTTGAATCAAGTCCTGCATGTGATTAACCTTGTTGGCAGCATGCTTTATGTATCTTTAGTGCACTCCAAGCCTTGTAGGTATTGCCATGTAAATGACTACTTGTGGAATCTGGTTGATGTCAAAACTGTGTGGCATGTGTTAGACATCTGGATTTTTGTAAATGGTTAACGTTTGGTAACATTAACATTAAGTCAGAAAAAGATTAAAGCAATCTAGTTGGTGATTAAGTTAGTAATGGAAATATGGGAAATCGACCAGAAACCTAGAATGGGAAGTTTGGAGAGTTCATGTATTTTATTGGAACAATAGATATGAATTCTGATTTTTGGTACCTATTGCTCAGGTGTGCTAACCTCTAAAAGAGTGGACTGATTGTTGATGATTTGACTAAAAAGGTTAAAGCCTCGAGGTAAGTGTTAGGTGGCATTACCTATTGTGATTATTAGCTAGAGTATAGAATTGTGAATTGTTGCTCACATGTGCCTTGGACTGTATTCTGTTAAATAATATATGTATTCTGCCCATGAATACGACAAGATGGAAATCCTTCTATGAGAAGTAATTGTTATGTGGCAGCTTGGTATTGAAAATATATGAAAGGCATGTTATTATGATGATGATCTAGTCATGCATATATACATCATAATTCATCTGTTTCTTTTGTGTGTGCGAAGCATATCATGGCATACATGTAACACCCCCAAATTTTTAACAATTTTAACAATAATAAATTATTCCTATAATTGAGAAATTTTCAAAAAAAATAACATTTAACTATTTATTAAGATCTTATATCTATTGCGGAAGCTAATCTAAAACTAATTTGGGGAAATGTTACCGCCGCACCTGTATAGGGACAAGTGCAAGGCTCTTTATTACACTCATAAATATTACAATAAAATCAGAAATATGTCTTATACATAAAATTTAGGATTAGCAAAAATCTCTGAGTAGTTATCCTCACTGCCCACTGCTAGCCCGATCCTTTGTAACTTGATTCACTGAAGCTCTGCTCCCCGCAGCCACGCAGGATCATTGCAGTCAAACAAACACAAAAGTCAGCAAATCTGATAATCCAAATCCGATATACAAAAATAAATAAATAAATATAACTCATAGTAATCCAATAAAATAATATAACTCAAAAATTCAAATCAAATATCAACTTGTTATTGATTATATTAAACTTTATTTAATCCATTTAGTGTATTTAGAAAAGGGCAATTATCGACTAACATATTTAGCACAACATTAATCATAATATTACATAAATGGTAATATTCACAATTCAATGACATTCATCATAATCAAATCAAATAACATTTCATTGTTAATCATGTTTAAGTTCATTGTACTTAGTGGGAAGAGAACCATGGTAGACCCGGGAAATAACCCTGTTGCCAGTCTACCCCGTGACCCGGGAAATAACCACTGTTGCCAGCCACGTATCATCAAATTTGGCCATCATCAAAATATCAAATCCTAGTGTGTACACCTCTTCCCAAAGTTGCTACTAGTACCCCGGGAAATAACCACTGTTTCCAGATACCACTTTGGAAAGAACGGAAACATCATTGTCACATCAAATAAATATCAAAGGCATAAAGTCCAAAAGTTGTGTTCATCACTTTGGGAGGTACCATCCCAAAGCTATCCTCCCATTATTAATTAATCACACACAATCAAAAACATTTAATCTTGTCATATTTAGAAAGTTTTTTTAATATATCAGTTGCTCAAGGCATCATAACTTTTCAAACTATTCAATATAAGGTCCAACTCATATCAATTATCATAATTCAAATATCTATCAAATCCGACTATCATTTCATAATTCAAATCATATCAGAGTAAAGTCTAAATTCGACTACCATTTCATAATTCAAATCATATCAGAATAAAGTTCAAATTCGACTACTATAAATTATAATAATAGTAATCACCATATAATATATATCATATCATTTATCCATTATTTGAATTAATCTTATCAAACTCGTATCATTCATCCAACTCATATCATTAAATAATTATACCATAAATAATTTTGTAATCAACCCTATCAATTTCTAGATGTTAAAATAATTTTTTTTTTTTAAAAAAATATCCTAAATATAGCATATTCCAATTGAAACTATCCTAAATTTCCTAAGGATTAAGATTTCATACAACATATTTCAAATAAAACAAATCCTAGAATTTCTTAAGCATTGAAATCACATCAAACAAATTTCATTTAAAAGATAATCTACAATTTCCTAGGGATTGGGATTACCTGGTCTCCGTGTTTGGTGACTTCTACAATTTGGGGAAGAGAAGCGGTTGGTAACCAAAGAAAGATAATAATAAAAAATAAAAATTTGAAGTGAGGAGAGAGAGAGAGTGTGTGTAGAGGAGAAGAAGAGTAGTGGATGATTATTGAGGATTGAGAGTGAATTGGTTTGGTTAGGTTAGGCCTCTATTTATAGTTGAAGTTTTGGGCTTGGATATGAGTTTCGTGCAATTATTTCCTTATTCCTCATTGATGTATCTGGCTCAGACATTGGCTTTATACACTATTTTATTTTTATTCTTAATTTCTTTATGGCTCAGAATACAGCTAACTTATTTACTAACTCAAGGCTGACTCATGATTGACTCATCGTATCTAATGAAATTACCAATCAAACATTACTAATCAAACATTAATACATAAATCATCAATCAATTAATCATAATTTATCATCTAATATACACATATATATATATGCATATTAATATTATTTTATTATAAATAATCTAGAGTATTACAAAGTATCAAAATTATTTTCCAATATCACTCATATCGCACATATATCGCGCACAATTATTTTATCAAAATTTATATTATAATTTGTTATCTATAATATAACCATCATATATATATATATATATATATATATATATTATTACTACTAATTTATAGTTTATTATTATTATTAATTTATTATTATTATAAATTACTGTTAATTTTCTGGGATATTACAATACAACATTGTGCATCTAGTTGGAAATCGAAGTATATAATATAAGTAAGCATATGATTGAGCACGCATCATATAGGCATCCCTCCGTTACCAGGGTATGGGACACTTGGCTTCCGTCCGCATAGGTCACAGTTGGAATTCACCTTTGAGGGAGCCAATATGGAATCTCCACTGTGTATGTTAGTACGTGCACGACGGTGCTAGGAACGTACCTTATGGCGTTATATACACATCATGATTAGTACTCTGGCGTTATATACGCACTATGATTACATGTTAGCATCTGTCCGGAAAGATAATATGTTGATGCGACTGTTTTGGAATTTTGTACCTAGTCTAATATTGTTGCAATAATGATTTTGCTATCACACTACTGGGATTTTTCTCACCCCTACGGGGGCTCAATTTTTATAAATTGCAGGAGTACGAAAAAGAATTTGACGAAGTGTTGACTTGGATATGTTCTGTTTATGTGCTGCTGCTGTTTTGGGAATTTTGATGATGACATGTTGTTTCTGTTGATATTTGGCTGATCATTCTAGTAGGCTGTAATATTTTGAGATGCTTGGAGAAAATGTTAGAACACGCGTTAATTTGTGGTATTTGGATTTTTATGATTAGTTGTAAGATGTAAGATTTTGGTCATATTTCGCAAAAATATTTTCTGTACGTCTTGAATTCTGCCTTTTAAACTGATTTAGCGAGCACCTTGCGAGTTCTGTTTCTGGGACTACAGATCTCCGTTTGAGACATAACTTATATGTACTTAAAACCCCAGATGTCTAGTTTCAGATTATATAAACTTTACAATGAAATTCGGAAAGCTCGATTTATTATGATTTTTGCAATTCAGGTCATTTTGGAACATTGCACTGATTTGTCTTGTACTTTGCGAGTTCAGTTTCGGGAGCTAGACACCTCCGAATGAAATAATTTTTATATGCACGTAAAGCCCCAAATGTCTAGTTTTCTTGTATCAAAGAATATTTTTTAAGCTGATGAACTCGATTTTACACGATCTTTACAAGGCAGCAAGGCTTTTTAGGAAAACTATTATTTCAGCAAGTCATGTATTTTATAAAGCTGCACTCCGATTTCAGTAAACCACCAGATTCCAATCATATAAGTGAATTAGTAACTTGAAAATGTAGTTTTGTATTTAATTAAAATTCGTTACGACTCTAATCCGCTTAGCAGACAACTCCCTTGGACGCGTATAGGGGAGGGTGTCACACAATCGAACATTAATGTATAAATAACCAATCAATTAATAATTCAAACAATCACAATTTACCACACATTATTATTATGACTACTAATTTATAATATATTACTATTATTAATTTATTGTATTATAAATTACAGTTATTTTCCTGAGATATTACATCTTACCCTCCTTAAAAGAAGTTTCGTCCTCGAAACTTAAAAGTTTGAGCTTCTCAAATTAACTAAAAAGCATAAAGTACTAGAATTTTAAAATTGTTGCACGTAAACAAATTAGCAAGTAGACAAAATGGTATAGGACAATATGAATTATAGGATAATATACTATGATTTTGTGCTTTTTTATGCTAATGAATTGCTAACTAATGTATTGGTAACTCTCACCTTTCCCTAAAAGAAAAGTTTCGTCCTCGAAACTTAATTGCGTACCTTCTTCAAATAAAAACGGGTATTTATTGCGCATGTCGTCTCCTGCCTCCCATGTTGCTTCTTCTACCTTTTGACATCTCCACAAAACTTTAACTAGTTTGATTGACTTATTTCTCAAAAGTCTTCATCCACAGGCTTTTTACCATTATCCTTAATTATATAAAATGTGAATTTATACAATTTATTTGTTATAAGAATGTTTTATAAATTGTTAGAAATTTGGGGGTGTTACAACTCTAGTCTTCATCCACAGTCTTCTTACCATTATCTTTATCTTCCACTCTAGAAGTACCTGAAATATATCCCCATAATGCGAGGTGAGATAAACTCAATAAACTCGGGGTTTATGCAGAAGTCTCCACCCACGAGTTCATTTCCTACATTACATGTTAATTTCCCAAACACAGAAAATACCATATATATTCAAATAATACAATTAAGTATTTTACACCATTTTTACAATTGATTAACATACATAACCTTTCAAGTTATAGTTTCATTAATTACTTCCCAATAATTATTTCACAATTTGATTCTAGCATTTACAATCAACTAGAATATACTGATTCCACACAATCAGAACTTACTTCAAAATCTGAAACTCTTATAGAATTATCCACAACACATAATTTTCACAATTAAAAAGATTAGTACTTTACATTAATCAAAATAACCAGAATCATCAGAATACACAAACATCACAATCATCAAAACACATCATAATATTATATATCTCTGTTTTATAGAGTAATCAGAACCAATCAAAAATCATATACTTTCACAATAATACTTATTCTCAGTAATTCCACTAGAGTTATCCTTTTTACGAAAACGCTCAACTTGTACAACCAAATTATTAATTGGCCTCGTACTGGAATTCTTATATTATATATATATATATAACACTCTTATTCCAAATCACAAACTCTTTATATCAGTGTACTATATTTATACAACATACTTTAATCTGTTATCAGATTAATCACAATACAATAGTCTCTCTGTTGACAGCCAAATCACAGCAGTACATTAAGTACTCACAACACAGAATTTTCAAAACACAAAACATAATCACATCACAACGCAGAATTTCAATCATCAACACAATCAAATAAACATATCAACAAAGAATATTAAATCAAATACATCATATCAAATAACATATCAATCAAATATAATAAACAACTACCACCATGTTATTTACAAATTCAGGTTCAACATCATCCATTAACTATAAACATCAAAGCATAGATATTACACCCATTGACATGTTATTCACAGCGATCACCTATACTTTGCATATTATCAATCCAAATTATACAGTTTTACACCAAGTTATACATCAATCATTAATATAATAAATTACAGCAATTTAAATCAATTAACATAAAGCATGTTATTTAATTCATACCAATCATATATAATTATTGATCCTATATGAATGCAATCTATGCTAGGATTAACACTTCTCACAGATATTCCAACAGAAACCATAATCCACTTGATTGCAACGTAACATTAAGATGGAGAAAGCTCCTAAATCGAGATCTTACCTGATCAGCGTTCCTATTAATAACTTGTTGTCCAAGCAACCTGCACTCTTTACTTCCACTCACTGTATCCTTTTAAACTTTGATATTATTCATAAAAATACAATCAATCATCAATTCAAAACACATATCATTATACAGACAACCAAATACCATTCACATATTACTTAATTACCCACTTGGTAATTCTTTTAATCACTCTTATACTAACAGTTCATGCCATACCACACAAGTCTTAGCATACTTTCACACCTTAACATTAGACCCACTTTTCTAGTTAGTTAAATCACTAACTCAAGTAAGTACTTAATATTTTATTAAGGTTTAACATACCTTAACACCACTTGAAATTTACTTGATTTCACTTAACAAACACCATACAACCTTTAATTAAATTTAATTAACATACCATGACATTTAATTCATCATGGCCGAATCATTAGCCTAATTATTCATGAATTTCATGCATTCTTTTCTTACAATTAATTTATCCAATTGATACATCATTCAACCTAATTCATAACCACTTGATATTAGGTTAATTTCACATTACACATAAATCTTACACAACACTTTAACTTACATTCTTTCACACATAATTTACATACACTTTATTAGCGTAACTTTCTTTACAAATTATCATGTTTATAAAATTACATGATATGAATTCAACTTCCATTCTTTTACCATTTTCTTTTACAGTCACATTAACACCTATATGAATCCATTTACTTTTCTCACATCAAATCCAATTAAACTAAATCCAATTAAACTATGTTCAATCCTCATTCTTTTTATTAATTGAACATTACACAACATTTAATTATCACATTACATAATTTTAAGCAATTAAATCTATGTTGGCGGAATTGATCATGTACTTATTCAACATGATTAACCAACTTAATCATTTTAGAATTCACATTCATTTACACTACACAATTCTTTAAACACTCTAGTTCAATTAGAAAGTTATTCCTTGACATTTAAACTCTAGGTTTTCCAATGACACTTATATAGTTTCTATGTCATTAACTTGATTTCTTTTCAATGTAAACCACTTTAAATCTTAATTAATCATACACTAGGCACACTTTAATCAACTTTACACAATTTAATATTAATCTTAGCCATTTAAAGTGTTCATGGCCGAATGGCCTTAATTTAAACATCAATGGTTTATCTTTTATTTTCCAATTTATTTCTCTTGAACCAGACATCATTAAATTATCTTAGAATCATAGTTTCACTTAAAAAATTTATCAAACACATGGTTTACACGTTAAACCCTATGATATCTGAATTACATGTTGTAAAAGTACAATGTTCTTTAGCTTGTTTTAAAGATTTCCAAGCATAGCTTTACATAGTTTTAACATACAATCTCAAAACAACTTCAAACCACATCAAACAACATCAATTATTCATAATCTTCACAAACCCTAATCAAACTTTAACACCATGAAATATCAACTTCCAACCATCAAAATTAAGAAGTAATACCTTGAATAGCTTCCTTGAACACCAAGCTTTCTTTTACACCAATCAATTTATCAAAACCCTAACTTTCTCTCTCTAGGTTAATAGCACCAACTCTCTTTGGCTGAAGATTTCTCTCACTACAAAGATCTTCAAGAAGAAAAGAAAAGAGATTTAGGATCACAAGATCAAAAGCTATCACTTTTGTGTAATAGGTTTTCTACTCTCTAGAAGCTAGGTTTGGCCATGTGAAGTAGAAAGGAAGAAGAAAGTGGCGTGAAACTCCTATGAAGAAAGGATGACCATTTCGTTTACAGTGAAATATCACTAAGTTATCTTAACTTTTCACTTTACACTTTAAACACTAGTTAGCTTCCTATTGGTTGTTTTTCTTCCCACACACCTTGTCATCATCTTATTCAATATTCTAGAATTCTACCAAGTCACCTAGCCACCTCACATGCAAGAAAATGACTAAGCTTGCTTACTTGTCACTTTATACACCTTTAGACTTTCAAACTTTCCATTCATTGGTCCATTTGTTCAAGACTAGTCAATCTTGGTTCTAATTGGTTAGTCAACACTTAACTTGGACCTTTAAGAATATAAAACATACTAGGTCACAAAGAATCAATCACACATCAAAAATCATACAAAGAATTTACAAAGTTAAGTTATGCTACTAACTTAACAACTTTGTATTCATCTTTGACCTAAACCAATTCCCATTGGTTTATTAATTTCCTTACTTTGACCTATTTTTAGAATTTAATCTAGACATTTTTTTATCATAATAAGATCACTTCAAACCCATGAAATTTACTATAGAATTTAATTACATCCTTAAATTCAACCTTTGACCTAACATTGGTCAATTACCAAAGTAATCCTGACTTTTCACATAATGACAATTATGTCCCCACATATACCTTATACTTATTTTAGGGTCCTATTAGACTTGTTTGGCATGAAGTGTATTCTTAACATACTTATCATGTCAATTACATAATTTACCGTTTGCCGTTTTCTTGAATACGTGTTTAAATTTTCACTTAAACACTTGGTTAATTCACTGTCATTTATTTGACAGTGAGGGTTGTTATAGCCGAAACCCCCTAGTTGAACCCGTGACTCTCGAGTCAGAGGGGTCAAAGGGGGTCATTGCTTTTTTTTTAAAAAAATTTACCCACGAAAAGACGTCGTTTGATGTGTAAAATAAAAACAAAAAAAAAACAAAAACTCACTGCTACCTAGATCTAGAACTAAATCTGAAATATGAACCGTTCTTCTTCTTCTCTTCCGATCTTCTTTCCCAGACCCTTATCGAGTCTCCCCCCGGTGATCTCGTCTGCCGTGGTGGTAGTGGTTCCTCCTATCCTCTTTGGTCTTCTCTCTCCCTCTCCTCCGCCGTCCTCTCTTGGGTAAGAGGTCTCCTTTCACATGTTGTTGTAGGTGCGTGAGAAGGACAAGGATGGCCTGAGTTTGATGATATAACTTTTCATTAACTTCACTAGAACATGTTTTATACTTTGATAGTTTGATACTTTGATTAGCTTATGTAATATTGACTTATGAATGTAATTGGTTGAATTATGTTAGTATATTTTGAATTTTTCATATAGGATATATATTTATATTTTTTTAATGTATAAAATCGGGTCAGCAAAGTGACCTTGTGACCCCCTAGTTGAACTAGTGATCCTGTGACCCCTGACCTCAACGGAGTCGATGGCTGAGTCGAGTCTTTAAACACTAGTTAGGATTAGTATACCTATTAGAATAGAGAATAAACAACAAAAATTCTCATAAGAGTATTATATTAGGCACGAGTATAGTATGTGTTATGGACCCAACTTATGGGCCCATATTCTAAAAAGCTCAATAAGGGAAAAACAACTAAGAGGGAGATAATAAAAGAATCTCACGAAGATGTCACCTATCATCTCTTCAATGGATCAAGTATTTGGCCTCCAATATTCCTGAAGGTTCAAAATTTCACTACCCAAAATTTAACTCCCTCTAAATAGGCACACAATGATCTTCTTCCCTTTAGGATATCTCTCCCTTAAATATATCAGAGAATATAGATCTTACATTAACGTACCAATAATCAGATTGGACATATGTTTGAGAATACTAATGTCTTTTACACTAATGTGCACTATATGAGTCTATTTTACATTATATAAATACACTATCTTCACCCACTTTAGGTACATTTTTTAATATTTCATATTTTACAATCATTTTTCACTTATTGAACTTAAGAGTTACTTAAGAGATTATTAGGTCTAACTCCTAAAAAGTGTAATTTGCGTGAAAAATAAGCCTGTAACCGATTACACATTTACTACTAGAAAAGTCAATATCACCGTGGGACATTTCCCCGTCAACATTGAAGACATTTCCGTCAGAATTGATGTTTTTGACAGAATTAGCCAACGGAAGTTCATCCTTTATTTCATCGTTAGAATAAATATTTTGATGGAGGGATTGTGACTGTCGCTTTTATAGACAGCGTCAAGTTGTTTGTAATAGTTGGTCGTTGTTTTATTTTTGGATGAAAATTATCTTTCTAAGTTTTAGTCAAATTATGTTGCGAGTTCGACGGAGATACACTCTCGTCAGTGAATGGAATGCGTAGGAAGCATCAATTTAACAATAATCGACAGATATTTTGAAAAATCCGTCGAAAGTACTGATGAATGTTTCCTCGTTGAAAATCATATTTTAAAAAAATACAAGCGGCTTGAAAATTTCCGTAAAAAATGATGTTTAGCAATTTTGAAGATACAAAACATGATAATCAATAATAGTTCCAAAACCTGATAACATTTGTTCCACAATTGAGTAATTGACATCCCGACAATGAACGAAACAATTAATGTATTTAATGCGTACATAAAAAGAGTTTGTGCAAATACACATGCTATAAAAATTGAACTCTAACAATTCAAATGGAACAAAATAATACTCCCAAACAAAGAGATTAACCAGGAAATTAACTACTTACACACTCCCCAAAAATAGGGTTCTTTCTTTAATTTAAAATGAATCAAGAGGGATAATTTTGTAATTATCCATTCCTATATTTTTTCTCTTGTCCTTCATCACAATTGATTGATCTTTGTATAATTATAATTTTCCAATATGATATAATTATATCAATTAACATATGAGAATATCACTCCTATTTAAAATACTTTTCTTTCAACACTAGTGAACTTACTCTGTATTCTATCATTGAGTGGGAAAATGGTGTCCAGCTAAAATTGTCTCCTACCCCACTGCTTAATACCTGAATTCGACCTAACTCGCAACCTGGGTGAGAATTCTTCTCGGGCAAAAAAGTATTCTATTTTGCTCCCAGAAAAAGTTATAAAATAAAAGTTAATTCGTTTAAAATCTAACCCAAATCAAATTAGACAAAGGTGAACCAGACATTATGAGCACGATACAGCCCTTCCCCACCTTCAATAAAATAGATGAATGGTTGCAATCACTGGACAAAATTCAACGATAGAGGGGAAGAGGGAGAAGGATTTTATAAGGTGGAATATGAAATTGATTAATTGACCGGGATAGAGAAGCAACTAATAATTTTATATAAACAAATTCGGATCTTAGCTATACATTTGATAGTGAGAATCAATTTTCGAGAAAACAACCTCCACAGAGGCCGAATCTATCTCAAAACCATAACTCTGTCCTCCATACTGCACATATAGATGTTCTCTGGGAGATGAAGGAAGAGGGAGAATTTCAGAGATCTCTGGTAAATCTGGTCTCGGTGGAGGCAAAGTTTCTGTCTTCTTTACAGTGTAGTAGATATCAGCTAAGAGAAGCCACACAAGATCAGGATCAATAGACGCAAGCCCATGGAGGGCATTCAGAGAAGCATCCCGAAGTCCAACAACACTGCTACAAGCTATCCCCACAACTAAACCGCTTACCTTCTTCAGAACAAGTTCTAATGCTGGGGCACTCCTCTTGTCACGGCATAAATCCGCAATCATGTTAAGCATTGCAATCTGAACCTTAAGATAGGAAGTCTCAGCCAATGAATCCTCTGAACTTATGGAACTGCTTCTATAAGGAAGTCGCAAAGGGGTCTTCTCATCTTTGAAATAGGACTTTTCCCGAAATGGGGATGTGGTCAGAAGTTTCCAAAAGCGTGTCCCGTCAGTGTGGAAACGACGTGTGAAGAAATCTCCTCCACAGATTAGCACTAGATTGCTTATCACATTCAAACATCTCCGAACAGCCTGCCAAAAAGAGTTACATTCGAAAAGTATCTTTTAAGCAATCAACCATAACTCAGAAGGGCAAACCATAACGGGAAGAAGTCTTAAGGTGATGGAGGAAATTCCACAAGGGAATTCCTACAATCATCAGAACGAGCTAGTTCAAGTCATTATTAACATCACAATACGGAAAATAGCCTTGAAATCCAATCATAAAACAAGAAAAGAACGGTAAAGAGGGATTGCTCACCACGGGGTTCCTGTTCTGAATACAAGTAATCAGGAATGGCCATATTTTATTCATTGCAGGAAGCAGCCGGTTTTCGTCAGCTCCTTCCTCAGTTGCATCCAAAGTATCCCTAAGCTGGTACAATGACAGTGATTGTAGCGCGTCTTCTGTTGCCTCTTTAATTTCTTTTTCATGATTATAAGCTGCTTCTACTTTGGCTAATGCCGACATGCCATCCTAAAACCAGAAATGATCCAAATAACATAGAGAAAATTACAAAATAAATCTATTGCTTTAGTTGATTTTAGATTGATAGTCAAACTGCCAGACAAAAATGAATCTATTTCATATATTACATATCATTAATATATTCATCAAAGGAAATATAACGGAAACACTTTCCAAACCTTCCATATTGTGTCAATGTCTTCGACATAATTAAACCATGTATTTCAAATATTTATCAACATATTCTTTTAAAATTTAACCAGTTAGGCCCTATAAGAATTTTCTTTTTTATTCATTAGAGATGTAAGTACTGATCTTTCATGACTGAAAGGTCATGGGTTCGAATTCATGAAACAGGCTCTTTGCAATTATGCAAGGGTAAGGCTGCGTACAAGAATTGACTCCACCCCACATTCGCTAGGCGGGTTTAATGGGGAGTGATTTTTTTTTTTTTTTTTAATTCATCAGAGATGTAAGTGGAGGATAATATATCTTCCCGCAAGCAACCAAAAAGAGGGTCAGAGATGCATAAAAAAGTTTGAATTCATTGAATGTCAACTAATAAACCTCCTAGGTACAGAATATACAGAACAAAGCACTGAGCCCATAGATTACTTTAACCTCTGGTTAGACCTCTCAAAAATGAAATTTCAAACTTTGAAATTTCCTTTTAATGCTCACACTGCATATTTTCTTTTGAAGTATAAATAATTTTTTGAACATATTTACGTCAACAAAATCTGTCTAAGGCAATTCCTCTATTTTCAATAGTACTTTAGCCTCTGGTTAGAGCTTTAAGCTTTTAAGGCAACTCCTCAGGTTAATGCTAACCCGCATATTTTCTTTTTATCCAAAATTTCCTCCTGCTCTCTTTCTCAGACCTTATTTTCTTTCATTATCTGTCAATCCCAACTTCAAGAAGGGAAACCTTGGCACAACATTTGGTGTTGTCACCATGTGACCCGGTTGTCACAGGTTCAATTTATGCAATCAGCCTCTTGCTAATGCAAGGTAAGACTGCATATTATAAACTCATACAATGGGCCTGACCCTTCCCTAGACCCTCCCTGCATATGTCAGGCTGCCCTTTTTTTAAATCTGTCAATCTCAACTTCAGAACTTTTTTTCTCTTTCTATTTTCTAAGTAACATAGTTTGTTCAATAATGGTTGCATCAATGTCCAACAATGCATGAAAAATCATACAAAACTTCTTGTGAAACTCAAACTGATAAATAAAGAATATATGCTTTTCACATTTACATCAATTGCTATAATATTGAAGTGTTATAGCATTTCAACCAAAAGATACCTCAATAATATCTAGGGCGGCCAAGCATATCTCTTTCTTGAATGAAGCTAGAAGAGGTATTGCAGAAGTAATACATGAACCAGCAATAGAACCAACTATTCGTCTATATCTTCGAGAATCATTAAACTTGAATGACATGACCTCCCACTGGTCTACAAGCAAAAAAAAACACTTCCATTTAGTAACAATCAAGGAACCACATTTACCATGAGATAACAAGGATTACATAATCTGGTTGGTGCAAAAAAACACCATGGTATAACTCCTATTAAACTGTTGTATAACCAATATAGTCAAGGAAATTAATATTATTAGTAACACAATTGGGTGTGGAAATCTAAACTCCATGGTATCAAGGAACCACATTTACCAAAAGCTAGCTTGTAAGGTTGGAAAACTCAAAGTCCATATAAACCCCACGCCAGAACCTTATGTTTCCAATGTCTTGCAATTGAATCGTAACATCCAACCATGCTGCGTAGTCCCAGCGCCCAGTTTTTTACTAGCCCTAGGCGAACAATGCAATGCCAACGTCACCCGTCACATCGCTTGATTGCAACTGAGAGACATAATGGAAGCTCTGGTACCAATTGATATTGTTGAGATATATAGTCCCACATTGGTTGTATGAGCAACTAATGTGGAGTTTATAAGGCCTTGGACACTCCCACCCTTTGAGCTAGCTTTTGGGGTGGTGTATCCCAAGGTTCTTTACATGGTATCAGAGCCTCATGTCCCAGGTTCAAACCTCGCCGCCCCCACTTTCACTTGTGGAATTTCTTAGCACAGGTAGGCTGGGCCTATTGCATCATCTACTCTTCAAGCCCAATGGGCTCTTGTGTGAGGGGGCGTGTTGAGATATATAGTCTCACATTGGTTGTATGAGCAACTAATGTGGAGGTTATAAGGTCTTGGGCACTCCCACCCTTTGAGCTAGTTTTTGGGGTGGTGTATCCTAAGGTTCTTTACAGATACGATCATTGTGAGAGCCTTACCCCAAAAGCTAGCATGTAAGTTAGGAGAGCTCAAAGTCCATATAAACCCCACACCCATGGTTGTTAAAACGTAGTGTCGACTTGGTAGAAACGGAAGAGTCTACGTTTCTGACACCAAAAACGTGTTGAAACGGTGGTAGAAACGGATTTTGAGTTGACTCGGTTGAAACGACAAGTCAACTCGGTTGACTTAGTTTAAAAAAAAAAGCGTTTAAAAGGTCTCTGTTTTCACCTTTTTTGTACCAACTATAGTGGGTCTTTACTATCTTGGCTTCTCCTCTCTGGCAATCGAAGTACAAAAATGTTAGATAAATTACCAATTTTCTTACTTGTAAATGATGGTCTTGTATATTTTAATCAACAGGCTTAGTCGATATCATATGAGCAAATGCATTCACAATCATATCTAACAAGCACAAGACCTCAGCAAGCAGTTTAACAGAGACACATCCATTAGTTCTGTAAATTTTTTCTATTACGATAGATATATTTTATAACATAGATATACAGAGGAAATGCAATAGCTGAAAATATGAGATAGTGCAAGGCCAAGGAACTAAATATATAGGATAACAAGATCCATTTAATCTATTAAGCTTGCATTAAGTAGTGCCACCGAAAGTTCAACATCAACATCAACATCAACAACACCTTTATCCCAAATTAATTGGGGTCAGTGGTAGATAAACCCATATAAAAGATACAAAAAGGTTGAAAATAGAAAAATAAAAGAAAAAAAATAAATAAATAAATAAATAGAATAGTATATATATATATATATATATATATATATATATATATATATATATATATATATAAAAGTAAGAAAAAAGAAAGGAAAAAGAAGAAGAGGGGGAAATGAAAGGGAAAAGGACTAAAAATGGACCATCTGGAACATAGGAATAACAACGGGTCTAACCCTCCACCATACTTATAGCTTTTCTCCATTCCGTTCTAAGACATACTGTCCGTCAATCTATATCCCACTCCATTAAATCTTGTTTTACTACCTTCCCCCAAGTAAATTTCGGTCTACCTCTACCTTTTTTTGTGTTGAGCTCTTGGTAACAAACTTCTGTTCTTACGGGAGCATCCAAGGGCCTTCTCATTACGTGCCCAAACCACCTCAATCTATGTTCTCTCATCTTCTCAGCCACCGGTAGTACTCCTACCTTTCGTCGAATTTCTTCATTTCTTATCTTATCCATCCTCATATAACCACACATCCACCTTAGCATCCTCATCTCTGCTACTCCCATTTTATGCTCATGTTGCCTATGTGCTGGCCAACATTCAGCTCCATATAGCATGGTATAGAATTTTCCTTTTAACTTAAGGGGAATTTTGCGGTCACACAAAAACCCAGATGCACTACGCCATCTCATCCACCCTGCTCTGATTCTATGATTTACATCCTCATCAATCTCTCCACCTTTATTGAAAATAGAGCCCAGATATTTAAAAGCATCTTTCTTGGGTACCTCTTGCCCACTTAGATGCACGAGATCTTGGTCTACATCTCTTACCAGAGAAAACTCACACTTCAGATACTCAGTCTTGCTCCGACTTAATGTTAATCCTTTAGATTCCAACGTGCTTCTCCACAATTCAAGTTTTCTATTAACACTGTTTTTGCTCTCATCGATAAGCACAATATTGTCTGCAAAAAGCATACACCATGGCACTTCCTCTTGAATATCTTTTGTTAGTTCATCTATAACTAAGGCAAAGAAATAAGGACTTAGAGCCGACCCTTGGTGTACACCTACCGTGGTAGGGAAATAACTTGATGTTCCGTTACAAGCTTTCACACATGTAGTAGCCCCATCATACATATCCTTGATTGCTTTTACATACTTTGATGGTACCTTTTTCTTCTCCAGAACCCACCATAAAACTTTACTTGGAACCCTATCGTATGCTTTCTCAAGATCTATGAACACCATATGTAGGTCCTTCTTCTTTTCTCGATACCTTTCCATTAATTGTCGCATCAAGAAACTGGCTTCCACGATACATCTTCCTGGCATAAATCCAAATTGATTTACAGAAACCTTGGTATCCCTCCTCAAGCGATGTTCAATAACCCTCTCCCACAACTTCATAGTGTGGCTCATTTGCTTAATGCCTCTATAGTTAGAACAATTTTGTATATCTCCCTTGTTTTTGTAAATAGGCACAATCATACTTTTCCTCCACGCATCAGGCATCTTATTTGTCTGAAGAATCTTATTGAAAAGATTGGTCAACCATTTTATTGCCACATCCCCCAGGCCTCTCCACACTTCAATAGGGACATCATCAGGTCCCAAGGCTTTATTTTTATTAGTCTTCATCCTCTCTAAAGCCTCCTTAACTTCATGTGTATTAATTCAGCGTACAAATCTTCTATTCAAATCATCATAAGCGTCCTCCAAGTCCACCTCGCTTATATCGCCATCCTCATTAAACAACTTGTTGAAGTAGTCCATCCATCTTTCACTTACATCTTTATCTCTCACCAAAAGTTTTTGATTTTCATCCTTGATGCATCTAACTTGGGTTAGGTCTTTACTTTTCTTATCCCTTATTTTTGCAAGTTTATATATACTTTTTTTACCATCTTGCTCCCAAGATTTTTATACAAATCAGCGAAAACCTTGCCTCTAGCTTCTCGCACTGCTTTCTTTGCATTTTTTCTCGCCAATCTAAACTTTTGCAAGTTCTCTTCACTGGGGCTTTTATGCAAAGAACTAAAGCATTCCTTCTTATTTTTAATTGCCTCTTGCACCTCTCAATTCCACCACCATGTTTCCTTTGTATGAAATCCATTTTCTTTGCTTTCTCCCAACACCCTCCTTCCCATATTTTGAATACACTTAGCCATCTCATTCCATATTGCATTCTCTCCTCCATCAAACTCCCAAGGTCTTTCGTGCAACATTCTTTCATTGAACTCTCTCTCTTTTCTCTCCTTAAGCTTCCACCATCTCTTTTAGTGCCACCGAAAGTTATTTTTGGATAATTCATGATAACCCATCCCAAAGTAATTTTACCAAATAAATACATAGATTTTGAAAAATATGTAGTTTACAGAGGATGAAATAAAAAGGCAAGAAAAAAGGATAGATAGAAGAAAAGAAAAAAAATGGATTGAATATTACTATTTTCTCTTCCAAATGTTTTTTATTGGAAACACCGCGAGTTCACGTAACCAATATTGCTTTAAAATATGTCAATTCTCTTCTTAAAATACTTATAGCAAATACTACAGCTAAATCCATTTTATAATCTGATGAAACCGAATTTAAACACACAGGCAAGTTAAGAAAAAGCAAGACAGATTGTATTGAAATTACCCAACAAGCATAAACACTTTAGCTTGTGGGAGTATTACAGATGAAGAAATACCAATAACAAGACTCTAATGGTTGAAACAGCCTTGGAACGATAAAGAAAGACACCAAAGGGACTCCCCGAGTACCCTTTCCCCACCATTCCACTCACAGGTTCATACTAGTCTGCCCTATAAAATTTGCATTACCCTCCTTATAACCATTTCCTCCCATCCACTCATTCTCTCTCGTTGAGATATATAGTTCCACATTGATTATGTGGGCAACTAATGTGGCCTTTATAAGGCCTTGGGCACTCCCACCCTCTGAGCTAGCTTTTGGGGTGGTGTATCCCAAGGTTCTTTACATGGTATCAGAGCTTGAGTGACTAAAAGGCCACAAGTTCGATTCTCACGGCCCCCCACTTTCAAGTGGAATTAAAATAAAAAAAAAAGGCACAAAAAGGTAAACCAAAAATTGGGCCTGTGCAATTCCACGCTTCTAGCCTAAAGGGCTCTTGCGTGAGGGGCCGTGTTAAGATATATAGTTCCACAGTGATTATGTGGGCAACTAATGTGGCCTTTATAAGGCCTCCTGTAACTAACTTCCCTCCCCACACCACTCTTACGCTCACAGATTCTATTATGTTAATTTGGAGCTGATTCCCCTCCATTTGGGCTTGCAGTTCGTTGTCCAACTGCATCATCCTCAATTGGGTCTCTTTGTGCAGGCCCATGTTAGCCATCCTCATTCAGTTCTGGTCCATGCTTGCCTCTCTTTCTATTATAAACCTTCTGCAGCCTCTCACCAATTCCTCCCTCCTTAAAATTCACCTTGGCCTCAAGGTGAAAATGAGGAAATTGTACCTGAAAATTGTCCAGAAGTTCCCAGGAATTTTCACAATCTGGTAGCCCAGTCCATGTGACCAAAATCTCAAATTGTCCATTTAACAACCTCCTACTATCAATCACATCTTCAGGTTGCACGTACAACTCCAATGATTCTGCCAAGCAACTGGGAAATTCCAAAATTGGAACAGCAGGATCAAGGGCCTTCTTAAGTTGGGATACATGAAAGATGGGATGAATTTTGGCATAAGATGGAAGTAAGAATTCATAGACAACAAGGCCTATCCGTTTTATAATCTCAAATGGGCCATAATAACATGGACTTAGTTTCTGAATCAGTTATCAAATGCGGATTGCGGCATGTCGCGACCAACCCCAAAAAACGCTATAACGCTATAGCGGATTGCGGTTGCGGAAATAGCGGAATAGATATATGACAGAAATCATCACAAAAAGAAACATTTTTTAAAGGCAGAGATAGCAGAAGTGACAGAGAAAGATGCAAATTAACTAAAAAACCCATAAAAAATTTCTGTTACACATTTACATATAGGACAAAATTGACATTTTGCCTTATGACAGCAATATTGCCGTGATTTGGCTGGGAATGTGATCACAATGGCTGTTATTGCGTTCCGGTGCAACACAGCGCGGTTTCTTGCGGGGAGGCATCGCAACACCCATACGGCGCGGCTCGCGGCGCTATTGCGGCGCAATTAACTACTATGTTTCTGATTCAGATGTGTGGCTAGTGACTTGAGCTTATAGGGCTGATCTTTAAATAAACTTTGTCTCCCACCATGTACTCAACCGTTCTTCTCTTTTTATCAACATACTTCTTCATATATTCTTGGGCTTTAGATAAATTTTGCTTCAGTTCAACAAGAACAGCATCATGTGCTTGCATGAGTTGATCCATTGTTTCTGACTGAGTACTACCTCTGTCAAATTGAATCAGAACCGAAGGGTCGCGGCCATATAATGCTCTAAATGGGAAGTGTTGAACTAAAACTCTGCCCACAAAATCCATTTCACCCAACTCTTTGGATGCTGACCCACAAAGCATCGAAGGTAGGTCTCCACAGTTCTGTTAACAACTTTAGTTTGGCCATCCGTTTGTGGATGGTAAGCGGAACTAAATTTCAATTAGTGTCAGCCAAGCGGAAAATCTCCTTCCAAAATTTGCTAATGAACACCCTGTCTCGATCTGACACTATTGATTTGGGAAAGCCGTGCAAACGTACTACCTCCCTTACAAATGCAGCTGCCACCTGTTGAGCAGTAAAAGGGTGAGATAATGTAACGAAATGAGCATACTTCGTTAGGCGGTCAACCACCACAAATAAAGTGTCCATGCCATTGGACCTAGATAGGCCTCCAATAAAGTTCATTGTTAGCTCTTCCCACACTCTATCAGGCACTCCCAAAGGTTGCAATAATCCTGCAGGAGACAAGTGACAATACTTTTGCTATTGACAGATATTACAAACTTGGACATATGCTGTCACATCTCGTCTCGTTCCCTTCCAATAAAAAAGTGCGAAGATTCTTTTAAATGTTCTCAATCCGCCTGAATGTCCCCCCCATGGTGAAGCATGAAATTCTTGCAGTAATAACTGTATATGAGGGGATTTCTGAGGAAGAACCAGCTTACCATTGTACCACAAATAGCCACAATTTAACTTGTACCCAGTTTGGGATCTTGTAAAATATCCAATATGAGTTTACTACTTGCCTTTTCCGCCAATAACTCCTCAGCCAATGATTGCAGATTGGGACTGGAAACCATGTTTAATTCCTTGAATTCCATTACCCGTGAAAGAGCATCCGCAACCCTGTTTTCCACCCCCAGTTTATAATGAATTTCAAAGTCAAATCCTAGCAGTTTTGCCACCAATCGTTGTTGTCCATCTGCCATCAATTGCTGCTCCGTCAAGAACTTTAAACTCCTCTGATTTGTTCTTATGATGAACTTCTTGCCTAATAAATAATGCCGCCATTTGTGCATGTTGAGATATATAGTCCCACATTGGTTGTATGTGCAACTAATGTGGTCTTTATAAGGCCTTGGACACTCCCACCCTTTGAGCTAGCATTTGGGGAGGTGTATCCCAAGGTTCTTAACATGGTATCAGAGCCTCGCTGCCCTCCACTTTCTTATGTGGCGTTTCTTAGCACAGGTAAGCTGAGCCTGTTGCATTGTCCACTCTTCAAGCCAAATAGGCTCTTGTGTGAGAGGGCGTGTTGAGATATATAGTGCCACATTGGTTGTATGTGCAACTAATGTGGTCTTTATAAGGCCTTGGACACTCCCACCCTTTGAGCTAGCATTTGGGATGGTGTATCCCAAGGTTCTTAACATGTTAATTACCAAGAGACAAGAGGTATTCATTGTAATCCTTGTTATATTAAACTACACAACATTGGTGCTATTATATAGCAAACCAATTTAAGAATACAAAGAGACACACTTAATGTGGGACTTCTATACTATGTACAGCAACACTCCCCCTCAAGCTGGAGCATATAGATCGTATGCACCAAGCTTGTTACATATCTGGTCTATCCTAGGTCCTCTCAAAGACTTAGTAAATACATCAGCTAATTGATCATTTGAGTTGACAAAACGAGTGACTATATCTCCTGAGAGAACCTTTTCCCTAAGGAAATGACAATCTATCTCAATGTGCTTAGTCCTTTCATGAAACACTGGATTTGAAGCAATATGCAAAGCAGCTTGATTATCACAAATGAGAGATGTTGGGCCAGTGTCTCCAAACTTGAGTTCCTTCAGTAGCTGTTTTAACCAGATGAGTTCGCAAGTAGCTGTGGCCATGGAGCGATATTCTGCTTCAGCACTTGATCTCGCAACTACACTTTGCTTCTTACTTCTCCAGGAAATCAAGTTATCTCCAACGAATACACAATACCCAGAAGTGGATCTTCTATCAATAGGAGAACCTGCCCAATCAGCATCTGATTATCCTACAACTCTGGTATGACCTTTGTTTTCATAGAGAAGACCTTTGCCAGGAGCAGTCTTGATGTACTTGAGGATACGGATTACTGCATTCCAGTGATCTTCACAGGGAGAATTCAAGAACTGACTTACTACACTGACTGCAAAAGAAATGTCTGGTCGAGTAACTGTGAGATAGTTCAGTTTCCCAACCAATCTTCTATACCTTTCTGGATCAGAAAATAGCTCCCCCTGATTTGGTAAAAGCTTGACATTTGGATCCATAGGAGTATCAACGGGCTTAGCATTTAACAATGCTGTTTCCTCAAGAATATCCATAGCATATTTTCTCTGTGATAGTACAATGCCATCTTTGGATTGGGCCACTTCTATCCCTAAGAAATATCGGAGTCTTCCAAGGTCCTTTGTTTGAAAATGATGGCACAAATGTTGTTTTATCTGAGTTATGCCATGAGTATCATTACCTGTAATGACGATATCATCAACATATACTACCAAATAAATAGAACCTAAATCAGAGTGTCTGTAAAAGACTGAGTGATCAGCCTCACTTCGAGTCATGCCAAACTGCTGTACAACAGTGCTAAACCTTCCAAACCAAGCCCGGGGAGAATGCTTTAGACCATACAAGGATCTTCGGAGACGACAAACTAGGTTAGACTCCCCCTGAGCAACAAACCCAGAAGGTTGCTCCATATAAACCTCTTCCCGCAGATCACCATGGAGGAAAGCATTCTTTATGTCCAGCTGATACATAGGCCAGTGATGAATGGCTGCCATAGTAATAAAGAGGCGAACATAAGTCATTTTCGCCACGGGAGAAAATGTGTCACCATAGTCAAGGCCAAATATCTGAGTATAACCTTTAGCCACCAAGCTGGCCTTAAGACGGTCCACCTGACCATCCGGACCAACTTTAACCGTGTATATCCATCGACAACCAACAACAGACTTCCCAGAGGGAAGGGGAACCAGATCCCAGGTACCACTACTCTGAAGTGCACTCATCTCATCAATCATGGCCTGTCGCCAACCAGAATGTGATAACGCCTCACCTGTAGTCTTAGGAACAGATACAGAAGAAAGAGAAGAGAGGCAAGCAAAATGGGATGGTGAAAGACGATGATAACTCAAATTTATTAAATACCTGGGAGGGAAACGAGAATCACGAGTACCTTTCCGGAGTGCAATGGGCACATCAATGTCAGACGGAAGGATCGGAGCTGCCGGAGGAGATGATGACGGAAGTGAGTCCACAGGAGCCTCAGTAACAATAGGGGCAGACTTGGGGGGCAGGGTCCTGGGGAACAGGGGGACGTTGCCGACGATGATAGACATGGAGGGGGGAACAGGGACGGGGATATCTAAAGAAGGAGATGGTGAAGGTATATAATGAACTGAAACATGTGGTAAAGGTAGCTGAGTAGCAACAGAATCACTGGGATGGGAGGAGGAGTCAAAGAATGGAATAGACTCAAAGAATGTAACATCCGCCGAGACAAAGTAACGACAAAGACTAGGAGAATAACAACGATAACCCTTTTGTGAGCGAGGGTAACCCAGGAAAATACATTTATGTGACTTAGCAGATAACTTGTCAAGACCAGGACTGAGATTGTGGACAAAACAAGTAGAACCAAAGATGTGAGGAGTGAGTGGGTACAAAGGTTGATGGGGAAACAACATAGAACGTGGTACCTGATTATGAAGTACGGAGGAAGGCATCCAATTAATGAGATAACAAGTTGTGAGGACAGCATCGCCCCAATACTGGAATGGGATATGACCATGTAACAAAAGTGTCCGAGTAGTCTCAATTAGGTAACGGTTCTTGCGTTCAGCAACCCCATTCTGTTGAGGGGTGTGTGAACATAATGTCTGGTGAAGGATGCCGTGAGATGAAAAGAAGGTTTGAAAATGATGAGACAAATATTCACGAGCATTATCACTTCGAAAAATGCGAATCGAAACACCAAATTGAGTAAGGATTTCATTAAAGAACTTGTTAAAAATAGAAAACAATTCAGACCGATTTTTCATTAAAAATAACCAAGTACATCGAGAATAATCATCAATGAAAGTTACAAAATATTTGTACCCCATAGTGGAAACGGTACGACTAGGATCCCAAATATCTGAATGAACTAAAGCAAAAGGAGACGAAGACCGACGATTGACACGATCGGGAAACGAACTACGAGTGTGCTTCCCTAACTGACACGACTCACAAGACAAACTAGATAAATTTGAGAAACGTGGGACCATCTTCTGGAGCTTAGCAAGATTTGGATGACCCAACTGAGCGTGGATAGTAAGCGGAGAATCCACAACAGAGCACACTGGAACAGAAGTTGAAAGCTAATAAAGGCCATTGGACTCAGATCCGACGCCAAGTGTCCTCCTCGAGCTCCGATCCTGCAAAATGACAGATTCTTTAGTGAAAGAAATAATACAGTCAAGGGATTGAGTCAAGCGACTAATGGAAATAAGGTTGAAAAGAGAATGAGGAACATAAAGCACATTCTCAATGGGAATAGAAGGAAAAAGGAGAACAGTGTCAATCCCTTGGACTGAACCAGTGACCCATTAGCCATAGTGATACTGGGCAGGGGACCAGACGTACAGAGAGAGGTAAATAAAGACTTATTACCAGAAATATAGTCAGATGCACCAGAATCGAGGATCCATGGACTAAGAGAGGGCGAGTGAGAAACACCAGCAAAGGAATTACCCGTGTGTGCACTAGAGGCAGTGGTACCAGGAGGTGGCTGTGATCCAGCAATCAAGGCAGAGTCCGAGGCAGGAACAGTAGTCTGAGCAAAATGAGCGGAGCGAGGAGGGCGACCGTGAAGATCCCAGCAACGATCAATAGTATGGCCCGGCTTTTTGCAATGAGTGCAGAGAAAGCGTCTCGTAGAGGGTTTGCGTCCACGTGCAAAACCCATGGAGACAAGGGCAGATGGGTCAATTGAAGAGGGAGCAGATACTGCAGGCTCCATAGAAGTCTTAGGTGGAATGAGAAGCAATGTAGACCAAACAGAGTCCAGCGATGGAACAGTAGTAGAGCCCAAGATCTGATCCCGGTT